GGGCAGCAACAGGCAATTAACCTGTGGTTCTCCTCACTCCCCGTGCAGGGCGCCACACTGATCCTCCCCCAGAGCTCTGTGGGCCCTCCCTGCACAGCCAGCCCGTAACAACACAGCATTCCCACCAGGAACAGCAATTAAAACAGGAATCAAAACACTCCAACAATTAAAACAGGCCCATCACAAGCATCACCAATGGAGCAAACAAGTCCCAGCCTGAGAGATCTGCCCACACTACAGGTGCACACCCGGATGCACTGAAGGCTGAGCCAAGGTTCTTTTCCTCAGAACAAGCAGTTTAATTACTGTACTGCTGTAAAATTTTTGGTTGTTAAAAATTTTAGACTTGCAGTACACCAAGAAATTTGGGAATGAAGGAATTTGCCTCAGTGCCTGTTGACCCCAGGCCATGTGAAATGTGTGAGTTGTTTTTATTGAGACAGAGTATGAGGTTCCAGAGCAGATCTCATGAAGGACAGTGTCTTTCCTAAGCTGTTTGAAAGTTTCTCTATGATGCTAAAAGGGTAGAGGGAGTAAGCTTGATAATGAAGGAAATCAGAGCAAGTAGTTACCAGCACATGCTTTAAATGTTGGTGTGAATATAGTATTTCACATATCAAACATGAATGTGTAAGCAGGGGCCTCAAGCATTAACTCAAGTTTCAGGGCTGAAAGCTGTTTGATACATGTGTAGTTATGGATTCTGGAAAAACTGACAGCAGCTTTTTGGGGAAGACACTTTGGAGCTCAGCACCTCTCCTCAGTCTGCTCACTGCAGGGACAAAGCTGGCTTTGAAATCTGGAGTTTGCTTTCTCCTCCTTTTGTTTCACTGATGCAACAGAACACACCAAGGATTAACTGGGTAATAGCACTGCCACGTCTTGATTTTAATCTCACCAGCTTTGTGTTATTCTTCTCCCTGAAGCTCTGGCTCTAAGAGTTGCACACATAATCACATGGGAACACTGGCAAAATTTTAGCAAAAAGAACACCACTGGCCTCCTGTATGCCCAGAGGGGCCTGTTTCACAGGGAACTGCATGGTTGTGGTGATCAATTCAGAGTTTTCAAGTACCCAGACAAAAGCAGTTGTTCTGAGCTCCCCCTTTGGCACACTGTCCAGGTCTTGCTGTAGAACACACCAGGTCCTGCCTCAGAGCAATGGTGCTCAGCCACCTGCTCCCCTGCACTCAGCCACACTTTGGATGGCTGGAAAATCCTACAGAAAGTACTTGTGACCACCTCTCATTGCTAAGACACCCTACAATCCAGCAGTCCCACAGAAGAGCCCAGCCCAGAAGGCGAAGCCCAAGCTCCAAGCCCAGAGCGCAGCACAGAAAATGAAAATACCCACTGTGGTTTCTAGCAAAGGAAGCTCTTCAAGGAGAGCTCCAAAGCTCTCACTCAGCCAGAGGTGCAGCTCTGGGACATGGCCAAATCCAGTGTTTGGACACAGCTTGGGGACCAGGACCCACCTCCCTGAGCCCCAGCACCAAAGCTCAGCCCCTGGTCCCCACCACAAGCACATCTCTCCTTCCTGGCTGCACCAAGGCAGAACCCAGCTCCCTGCCAGCACAAGAACCCAGAAGAAACAAGCATGTCTTTGTTTTTATTCCTGAGGTTTCAACCCCAACATTCTGGTTTTTCTGACGCTTTAGGTCTGAAGTTGACAAACAGAAGCAAAGCGTGGAAGCAGAAGTTCAAGCAAATTCCTGTCAAATTCACCAAACTTATAGCTCAGTGAGAGGAGAACATCGTTTTTGCTATTCCTCAAGGATATTTTGTTACTAAACTTACAGCAATTTATTTTGCTAACGTTCCCCCAAGTGAAAGCAAGGTTTGGCAACTTGCAAGGCAGGGACAAATTTTTACTTTTCATTTTTGCTAGGATAAAATTAATTTTGCTTGAGGGAAGGCAACTTTCAATTGGATTGAGGCTCAAGGAGGAACAGGAAAAAAAGGAAAACAAAACACTAAATCACTCATGTGAAGAGTGAATAGGATGCTGTATTTGCTTGGGAAGAAGGCCTTTCTAAACTCTGCAGTTCTCTGTGCATGACAGCCCAGCAGAACTCACACCACATGCATAAACAAAAATGAGGAAAGAGATCAGAATGCTCAGCTCCACCCTTGGGGGTCTGGGTGTGTGGTTCAGTGCCAAAGGGGCTCCAAAAACACAGCCACAAGTATTCAGCAAGGGTTACCTGCTCCACAGCCAAGCACTACAAATTACCATGAGCTGTGACTCACTGGAGAAATATTGATAAAGTTGCTTTTGAAATAAGATGAGGAAATGTAAAAAAAATAATTGCACAAAAAACTTCTCAGGCTGTTTAATTTAAGCACTTTTATGCCTGAGGGTCTAAATGAATACAGGGAGATCTTTTTGTTCCTGCAGCAATCAAGTATTTCCTGCCATTACTGATAATGACTTTAAAACAGCACATTTAAGCAGGGCTGTTACTTTATTTTCAGCCTTTCTGAGGTGGAAGTGCTAAGGAGGGGGAGGAAAGAAGGTGATGACAGCTCATCAGAGGAAGCATATGAGGAGCTGGCACAGGGACCTGGCCACCCTGTCCCACCTGAACCTCCAGACATGGCACACGCCACCCTGACCCAGCCCCAGAGCCTGTCACCTTCTGGCAGCCAATAAAAGAAAGAAGAGCAAGCTTTGGAGCTCCTCCAGTGCAATTTGAGTTCTGAATCTGGCAGCACAGGGACCTGACCCAACATTAAACCAGCCTAATCCTTTTTCTTGGCCTCCAGTGGGTGAATCACATTTCTGAACAGGACTGGGTGAGTAAATGATACTTTGCCTGAATTGACACAAGTCATTCTCATTCTTTCCTCGTCATCTTCTGCATGAGCTGAAACTGTCAAACATGGCCCAGAATCACAAGTGTTTCATTTAAACAGTATCACTACTCCAGTGAATAAACTGTCCAATTTGTTTTTGTCCATCTCTAGTTCCACACACCTTCATGTGGATACCACAAGGACAAGGGGATGGGTAGGAGACAGCAGAAAATGCCATGAGAAAATGCCACCAAGATCCAAGAGGGAGGGGACAAGCAGCTCTGACTGCAGGGCTGGACACTCAGAGGACTCCTTAGAAAAGACAGCAGGCTGCTCTGTGGTTCTGCTTCCACTCAACACAACCACAATCAGCCACAGGACCAGGCCAGAGCCCATGATGGGCATTTCTCAGAAAAACGTCAAAAAAAATCCTAAAAATGGTCTTTAGGCTGGAATCAGTCCATTTCAGCACTCTAATATTTCTACAGTTTTTGTTGCAAAGGCAAAGGGAGCAAAACCCCCACTATCTGGAGCAGCTCTGATGATGAAATGGTACTAGATAGGTCACTGGATAAACCATGAGGAAATGAAAGCAGCAGTTGGCAAATGTCATGGCAGGCATTCAAATGAGCCTGCAATCACCCAGCAGCTAAAGAACACAGATCCTCCCTTTAGCAGGTCAAGGTGTGTTTATTGCCAGCAGAAGCCAAGCACTGCAAAAAAACCACAGCACATTTTAACAGGAGGCATTCCACTCAGCAGATGAGGTAAAACTGCTTTCTTAAACAACCCACTTCTGCCAAGCTGCAAGGTGTCTATACAGGTTCACTTGGGAAGTAAGCAGGAAAAAAAAAAACTCTTTTCAGGCAGCCTTTCCCTCCTGACACCTGCTCAAGGGAAGGAGAAGCACCTGCAGGCCAACACTGGAGGGAGGTTTGAGCTCTGCAGATTCCCAGGTCACAGGGGCCCCCAGGCTTTGGTTACACAGCACTGATGCATTATCCTCAGCAGCACCACAAACTGCCCCAGTTTTCCTGAGCAGCCCTTGGAGAAGGCAAAGCAGCCCTGCCTGGTGAAACCCCAAGTGCTGTGCCACCATGTGGGACCCGATCCAAAGGGAAGGACTGCGCTGCCCTGGCATGGAGGTTTCCAGCAGCTCTGCCTGACAAGCACAGCTCCTGCTGCCAGGGCCGTGCCAGGATTTGAGCCACGCTGCTCCTGGCCACACTTTCAGACATGGAAGCACAGCTGACACCACTTTGCTCTCTGCCAGCTCTTTTACTCACTTGTTTGCTGAGCAGCACAACTGGTGCGTCCTGCAGGTCATCCTCATCCCACTGAGCTCAACAGGTAACTCCCACAGACACTGAATTTTGGGAGTGGAACACTCCCAAATGCTTCTGACTGCCACCTGGCCTGACACCAACAGCACTTAACACTACTTAAGGTTATTTGCATTTGCACTGTGACAAACCCAAACAAAATCGACAAAACCACAGGCAGGACCTTAACTCTGTTACTTTCACTTCCTTTCTGCAGTAATTTGCAGCAGTTTCTACTACTGGATGTCACATCATGACAATTTCAAGAGGAAACAGTAATTTCACATATCTAGGTATTTCTGCTTTCTCTCTCCTGAGAAAACACAGGGTGCTCAGTAGTTGTTGTTCTACTTTCTGAAAAAAAGGGGGGGAAAAACTCACACACCACAAATAAAATCTCCCATGCTTCCTACAGCACTCTATTTGGTGAGGGCAGAAGGAATAGCTGCAATGGTGAGACAGAAGGTGCTGAGCACAGTGGGGGAAAATATTACTGCCAGTGCTGATATGAGGCTGCAACACTGGTCTGCACAGTGCCAGAGTTATGCAAACAAGCAAAAATTGAGGAAGAAGAATTTTTGTACAAGTTTTTGCTGTCTAAAAAACACCATAATCATCCATCTGTCCAGAAATGTTATTAAGGATTATGGCAGAGGAAAAATTATAGGCAGAGAAGTGCAGCCAGAACTGGATTTGTTAGAATTTCTCCTGGGGCACGTAACCTACATTAGTCCTGAAGAACAGAGAAAAAAACCCTTCCCCTCCTCTCCCCAAAACTTGAGGAAATGCATGTGTGGATTTAAAAATAAGCAAGTCTCGGCAGTAGAGATGTGAGGAAGCCCCCAGCAGGACTGAGGAGCTGGAGGCTGCTTTCATTCCTACCTGGCTCAGTGCAGTTTCTGATGTAGAGCTGCTGTCCCCCATCCTCTGGAGCGTCACTCCCATTCTGCTCACGCGCCTGCAGGAGCTGCCGCCCGCTCCACTTGTCACCATCTCCCACAGAATAGCTCAGGGCATCATAACCTGGAGGAAAAGAGCAGTGGATACATGAGGAAAGGCAACTCCTGATCATCCTGAAGCAGCCAGAATATTTGCATTTTGAAAGTTCCACAGCCCCTTGGGTTTGAAAGGGCAGCGGTTCTAAGCCCACTGGAATGGACACTACCATCAGCTCCCCATCCCATAGGAGCCAAGTGCATTCCTCCACAGCTCCTGAAGTTCATCCTAGGAGAGCACCTCTGTTTTCCCACCCAGCACCATCTGGCTGAAGCCAGAGCACACCTCTGACTCGTTTCCACACCTCCAGTAACAAGAAATATCCATGAACACAAGGGGCAGTGCTTGTCTCACTACCTTTGACTCAACCCTTGCTCTGCTTCCCCTTCAGCTTTTCCTTGGTGCTGCTAAGTGAAGCTCTGTTTTAGCATTGTCAACAAGACAGCTGGCTGGTTTCTACAATATTCCTGGCACAAGGCTGGTCAGCCCTGGACATGCCACATCTGCCTAATCAGCTGGACAAACGTGCTCATGTGTCAGTTCCATGTCTCCTATGCTGGTTCAGATTCAAGGGGGGGAAGAAACAACTCTATTTTTTTTTTTTAAAGCCAGAAGATATTCACACACCAAATCAGCCCTCTTGCAATGGTGACCTTGCAGGCCTCCAGTAACAAACAGCATCTGAGAGGGATTTCCTCCCAGCCATTCATCCCCTTCCCAACAAGCAGAACATGAGCACTCTCACAAGGATTCCTGAATTATTCCCAGTTCTGTCCACTACTTTGCAAACAGATCACAAGCAAAAAAGCAGTGGGATAGAGATTCAAATCTTGGGTCTCAGAGGGTGATTAAGGACAAAGGAAAAGGTTCTCTGCAGGTACCAACCCTTGTGTTTGGTTCCCTGGCACATCCAGTTGCGAGGGCTGCCCAACCTGAGACTTGTCTGATGTGCCCAGATCATGCTCTGCTCATGCCATGCCATGCTAGGGGTAATGTTTGGGAAAGGGATGCCTGGAAATCTGCATCTCAGGCCACCAGCAATAACTGGGAACAATTCTCTCAGGATACACAGGAATCATCTGGGGGCATGTCTGGGGCAAGAGCCACAGCAGCACAGGCAGCCTGAAGCACCCCTGTTTTCTAAGCAACAAAACCCCATTTACCTTGGTAAACCAAATGCCATAATTTGAAGCTTCAAGCACTTTGTCCTTTCAATGCTTTACAAATGTTAGAGAATGGAATTTGCTGTCAGTTTAGCCTGTGAGCACCAGTAAGATGAAGCTGGTGGAAGCGGGCTGCATTTCCAAGAAGGAGCACGAGTGGTAACGCAGCATCAGGGATCTCCCCTAACAACAAACACTCTGCTAGCCTGAGCAAAGCACTTTCAGTTCCACATACAAGCTGCTTTCAAAGCAGAGGAACTCCTTTCCAAGCCAGAGAGGCTTCTCTGTGTCACTGCATGGAGCAACGGCATGAGGGAGGGAGGGAGGACACAGGGATGGCCCCCAACCTCCTGCAGAACCTTTGCCTCTCTTGGGTGGGAAACTCTTCCAAGCGAGGGGTAAAGAAGAACAATGTCATTTAAGGTGACTTTGGAAAGGGAAAAGCTTAATTTGGCAACAGGAGTGTTTATAAAGGCTACATCCAGCACTGACAAAAATCAGAGTAAATAGCAGTGGATCACGGCTGAGCTCGATGCAGTGACTGACACCAGGAAAATCTGTCCTCTGGCACCTCCAGGGCCAGCTGTCCGCCCCACAGCAGAATCTGAAGCCCACCACCCCCAAAATCCTGCCTAGAGCATCTCCATTGTAAAACACAATTCACTCAACAGAGCAAGAGAAAATAGAAGTTAGAGATGAACCTTTTTCAGAGCTTTGGCCTCCCAAGGATTTCCCCGTGAAAACAGGGACACGTGGAGATTTTAACCTTGCTAACAAGGACACTCAGTGACACACAAGAGGGTCCCTGTGGTTTCCCCACGTGCTGGCACCAGTCTCCTTGTGCTGGGGTGGAGGCAGCTCAAGGCCTGCCCTGCTTTAGGTGCTGGCACAAGGCACAAGCACCAGGGGCATCACCTCAGCCACAGAATTCCACAGCGGGGCTGCCAGGACACCACCATCACAGCCAAACTCTTCTTCCCAAGGAAAAGCAGGAAAACTTACAAAAAAGGAAGCTAACAGTTTTCTTTCTCAACTGTAGTCATTCAGGATTGGATGATTTTTAATGGGAACCACAACAAAGAGTTGTCTTCATTTTCTCAGCATAGGTAAAGACTGCTAAACTGCCTCAGCTGCAGTGCTATTTTGGGTAAGCAAGATGGAATGCTGTTCTTATTCATGTTCTAGCTGCTGGTTTTATACTAAAGCAACACTGCGACACCCTCTAAAGCCCTGGTACAATGAAGAGTTCTTCCAAAGTTCTGTACCATAGCATATTTCAAAGAGAGAGAATTACTTTTCCAAGCACTGAACGCCGCAACAAGGTATTTTCCACAACTCCACAATTCCCCAGCACCAGTTTTACATTACACACTCAGAACCCAGGTTCTGGAGAGCTTTACTTGCACTTCCTCCGCGAGATATTCCCATGGACAATAAGCACATGAGTCATTTTTCCCTGTCTTTGTGCCTGCTCTGCATTTCATAACAGAGCAAAGACAATGCAGACGGTGCATTTCGAGCCGCCTCTTTCCATAAGACAGGGAGTGCACGAGTGTGCGCTTGTTGGGATTTCTGCCCCTGCCAGGCTCAGCCTCTCCAGCAACACTGCTCACCTGTTCCACCTATGAGCATGGAAGTGAGGTGGAGTGGAAAAAAGGACGGATCAGACAGCTCAGAGCTCCTGGAAAGGCTCTGTGTGTGACCCAGATCTCCACGTGGGAACTCAGGAGCTCCTTACGCTGTTCCAGATGGCTCTGGCTGGGGTTTACAGCTTTCAGTGCTGCAGAAACGCAGCCAAACTCATCCTGGCTGCACTTCCCAGCACGAAGAACACCACCTTACAATGCTGAACAACATCCCCACGTTCCCCAAATGCACTCTGATCTCACAGGCACATTTATTTTCAGCAGCAAGCAAGGCGCAGGAACCCCAGCGAGATGGAACAGCAGACACACAGCTCCTAGAGGGTACAAAGCAGGCTGGTGTGGAGATGGGGGTCCCATGGGACAGGGAGCTCCAGGCAGCCAAAGGACACAAGAACACCCAACCCCAGAGCTGGAAGAGGAGAAAAAAAACTCATCCACTGCAGTGGAGGGTCTGCCTCAACAATGCTGAGGTGAAGAAAAGCAACAAAGATGGAAAAGTGCTTGTGAGCAGCCAGCTGGAGCATGGAAGAGCTGATGGGCAGGGGGCTGGAGCAGGGAAGACCTGACAGGCAGGGCCTTTCTCTGGCATACAGCAGTGCTGCACAGGACAGCTGGCAGGTATCCACAGCTCCCACTGACAATAAACTACTTTCTATGCAAACTGCTGGCCAGAGCCAAAAACAGCACAGCTTTTCCGAAATATGCTTGCTCTTCCTCCTCTCTCGTCTGTCCCTTTTATCTATTGTTCTCATGGTGGCAGCTTTGGGTTTGGGAGGGTTGGTTTCACAACCAGCTGAATTATCTCTGTCTCCCTGAATCGTTCCTGCAGTTATTACAACAGGGAAATGTTTCGGGGGAAGAAAAAAAGCTGGAACAAGCATGAGCTTCTGCATAAGCCAACACAGAGGTGGAGAGCAGTGGTGTGGTGGCCTGAGGACAGAATGATGAACCCTGGTGGAAGATCAGCACACAGCTGAAGGAGCTGCAGCCCTGCTCCACATCTGCCCTCCCACAGCCCTGTCCCTGCGTCCCCAGACCCTCAGGGACATGTCCAGTGAGCCCCTGCACCACCAGACCTACTGCAGACAGCCACCACCAGGATCTCAGCTTGTGATTGCATCAACACCTCCTAAATGGATCAGCTTTTGCCTAGGCTGATTTGGGAGACGCTTTTCTTCCAAAATCATCAGCAGCCAGGACCATAAATGTAGCATCCTCAGGGAAAAAAAAATCCCAAACAACAAAAGCCCCAGAAATCCTACACCAGGCTTTGACAAGCAGCCTGCTCCTTACATCTGATTTCAAAGCTGTATTTCCATGGCTCCTGACCTACATGGAAAGGTGCAGAAGGGCAGGGAAAGCACACTGCTGATAATACCTGTAGCACAGGAGTGAGGCACAGAACCAGAGCCAAGCTGCAGGCGGCACCCAAGCAGGGCAGGGTCCCTGCACCAACAGCCCCTCACCACACACCCTCTCTCATATTTTCTATGCGATCACCAGTAGAAAAAAAACCCCACAGCCCCCACAAAACCTCCAGGGAGGCTTCCCAGCTCCCTCCTAAGGAGCACAGAGCCTGCTGAGGGTCCCACAAAGCTCCTGCCCCTCCCAGCCCAGCACTGCTCTCAACAAAGCCCAGCTGGAGTCGGGAGGGCAGAGCGCACTCCGAAGGTCCAACAACAGCTCCACAGTTCTCATGGCAACAGCAAAATGTGACTTTTGGTTTATTTTAACTCTGAAAAGCTGCCCAACCTCTGGAAGTGAAATTTCCACGCGCATGCTGCTGGGGCCTGCCTCTGCTCCACCCTGAGAGCAAAGCAACTTCAAGGACAGGCAGAGCTCAGCAGAAATGCCCCCATGGCTCATCAAACTCCTGGTGAAGTGCTGCACCACCTCACACAGCAAAGCCCAGGGGATGGAAAAGTATCCCTGCAAGAGTTGAACAGGCTCCCCAAGAACTCCTTGGTTCCTGCATCCCAAAGAGTGCTGGATTAAGCTTAGTTAAGTGAAGATAAAATTCTGTCTTGTGTTCCCCTACTGTGTTGTGCCAAAAACTGTTACTGGATATGTGATTATTCCAGGCTTCCATGATTGTTCATTACCAGTTTATGCAGAAACATATGTTTTCTTTAATATTTGTATCAGCTTGACCATGAAATTGACCATTCTGTTCTTCTTGATCTACATCTAAGTGCAAAAGGAACAGTTCTGCACCTGG